TATGGGAAACCCCCGTGAACTTTGACCTAACGACTCGGAAGTTTGGCCGGCACCTCACCGATAACCACAAAGGCTTAAGTTTAAAATCCGAGCTTTCTACACCCGGCAGTTTTTTCTCTACCGGAATTTGCAACGCCGGATGAAGAAACGTAAGAAAATACAGCTTTTTGGCCATTTTTGCACTTTTCTATTTCCGAGAAAATTTTGAAATTTTGCACCCTACCCGAGAAAACAATTTTCTTTCCAACGAGATAATCGGAATTACTTCGGGTGTTTGGGGGCGGAGAAATCGACCTCCGAAAATCGGCAACTCTAATTCCCGTACACGTAGTCCATCGGTGACTTCTTTACTCGGCGGGAGTCCCTGCGTGACTCCTAATAAATACGTAACGTAATCGGAGTCGACCTTAGCCCCGTGGTATTCCGCGTGACGATAAAAAGTAGGTACTGCCAGGGTTAATTATAACAAGTAAAATATTTCTTCGCTACGTAATTACATATCGACCAATCACTATATAATAATCATGAAGAAAAAGAAAAAAATATTATAAAAACGATAGAACATTTAAACGGGACTTATTTGATTATTTTATACGATTAAAATAAATCAGAAANAGAGTGGTCTTTGCACTACTTTACAAAACTGTACATAATGATTGAGTGCATGTTTACACTACGAAGCCATTTGGCATAATAAATCAGCAGATTTAAAAGTAATGACCTTGACAAGTATGCACTTCCATTCAATGATACAGTAATGCCTGAACTTTCTGTTACCACCTTGTAAATGTTTCAAAAATTCTTATTACTTTTATCAAAGAGCAATTTTTTTGTTAAATATGTGTTTAGTTTTATTTATAGTCTGTAGAGTAATAAAATAAAAAATACAAAATTCTTTATTTTATTATAAAAGGGAAAGCTGCTTGATTACAGTCCTAACTGGCAGCATTTTCCTCTCAAATAAGAAATATTCATTTTTATTTTTTCAGTATTTCTGAACTGTAAAGTATTTTTGTTGTGATTCATTTTCTGTTATTCTAACTTCTTTTAGTAAGGATTTAATTTTGATATTTAAAAGGAAACATAACCACTCTACCCTATAGAAATGCAGTTGAAGATATGGATTTAAATTAGGTTACTCCATCATTTAGGAAAAGATCACTGAGCAAACCAGAACTAAAAATTCAACAAATAGCCACTTATTTTACTCCTCAAGCTAACATGAAGTCTTCTTTGTAATTTGACATTGAATCAACATTAGAATTTTCTTTTGAAAGTATGGAGTTGATATTAGAAAAACTGGAAGAGAAATTAGAGAAAATAGAATTACATATTAATGAATTTTGATGGCTGCTATCAGTTTATGGCTTCAGACTGGATATTATGAAAAACAACATTCATTGAAACTAAGAATTGAAAAGTTGGAAGAAAAGTCTTCTGCAGAAATCTAATGAAGGCTTATCAATCAGACCAAAAACATTTGTTTTAATTAAAGCTAATTGCTAGAAAAGTATGTAAGATATATATTATGGAAAGAAGAACATATTAAAAATGATAAATTACATGTGTGGTATTAAGGATTTTTCATGTCAGATCAGCTATTTTGGATATATAATAGCAATTTTTTTCAACTTATAAAGGTAATCATATAACTGAGACTCAATGAATATACTTTTAGATTGGAATCTAGTCTGTATAAAGAATATAGGCTAATCAACAAGTTTGTTCTTTTTGTAAATCAGGATCTGATACTTTGCCTCATTATTACATTCCCGGTTGTTATATATAACAGAGGGAAAGTGGTCAAAAAATGACTCCCCAAGATATTTACATTTTTGGACTTAGGACGTTGAAACATTAGAAATGCAAAAACTTTGGGGTTTTGTTTACCCACTTTGAAACTTAATAACTTCTGTCTTTTGTTAAAAATTTCTAAAAATTTTCAGGAATTGATTGAGTATTAGAAGATTGATGCTATTAAATTTTGGTGTTTCGAGGGAGTGAGAGATAAAGGGAGGATATGCGTCATATCTTGAGTAGGGCTGGACTTAATGAAGATTTTACTCATTATTAGTATTTACAATTTTTTATAAAATTATTTCTGCCCTCAAAATTAAGTTTATGCCATTTTATAATAATTAATAACATTAAACTTATTTTTTAAGCAAACTCATAACAGATGGTGACACAGACAATTTCAATTATGTTCTAGTATTTCTTAGTGATTTTCGCCAGGAAAGTCACGCGACTCTTAGCAGATTTCTTTTTGTCTACGACAAATTTTTAGGCGAAAATCACTTTTACCACATTTTCGACTTTATCTAAATTTTGTGCGTATTTTATGGCATTAAAATTTTAAGAAGCCTAATAACCTCCGAATGTTCAAATACTTTATTCCACAGTTAAATACGTTCACAAAATTTCGAGTATTTTTAAACTTTACAATTCATCAACACCGAAATCTTCGATGAAACGTCGGCAAGACGTAATATTCAAAGTCTTCATGAAATTAATACGCTAATATCCTTATGAGGAATCGAAAGGTTGACAAGTAATCGAAGATTTTATGATAGTTTTTACATTTCATTGTCTTCCAATATAACACTGAATTAAATTGTTTTGAAAAAATAAGACCTTTAATTTTGCAAGTGAAAAACAATGTAAAAAACTTATTTACATACAAATTTCACTATCTTCTAATTTAATCCAAAATTTAATATAGAAAACAGTGTGTTTCGAAATACAGTATTTGCAATAGCGAGTGTTNACCTTTAATTTTGCAAGTGAAAAACAATGTAAAAAACTTATTTACATACAAATTTCACTATCTTCTAATTTAATCCAAAATTTAATATAGAAAACAGTGTGTTTCGAAATACAGTATTTGCAATAGCGAGTGTTCGGGTCAACTTACCGTTTAATAAACAGTACGAATTCCATTCTATTCTTATTTATGGTAAAAATTATTAAGTAAATTCAGTATATTTTCTGCCTTCGAAGAAAGTTTATTGGATGTGACTAGAAAATTACCGTATACAACATCGTAAAATGTTTATAAATGGTTTCAATAAAACAATTTAAAACTTGACTCTGATGTTGCGTGTATAAGCATATTTTTCTTGCCTTTTATCTAAAGTATAATTTATAATCTTGAGAATATTTTAAACAACATTGTTTAACATTTTAGCCTACTCATTTCGTAACAATTGGATTTGTCACAATGCAATGATCTGATGGACAATTTGAAAATACTCTTATGCCAGTTTTCGCACTCTAATGAAGAGCCACAGATTTAAATAAGCAGAACAATTAATAATTAATAACTCGATTAGTTTAATAATTAATAAGCAGAAGAAGTGTAAAGTTTGCTGAGACAGAACAATGCAAAATGAGCTATAAGACTGTTTTAATAAGTAGAAGGAACGTTGGAAGATGTGTACTGTATAGCTGCAGAATATATTCATTTTGAAGTTAGATTTCTGCAAGTACTTGTATTATTACTGCAACAAAAACTACATAAAAATTTCGACTTTATCCTTAAAAGATTCCTGTACCGATTACGAGTTGCTATTGGCAATGATGATGATCTAGAGTAGGGGTGTCCAACCAGTGGCCCGCGGGCCGCATGCGGCCCAAGGCAAGTTCCAATGCGGACCAATAAACGTGTAAAAAACCGACGAACTTTTACATTTCATTTTATTTATTTATTTCAACAGACTAAATTTAAAAAAAAAAGTTTCACAAAGCCGTAAACCTTTATACATATTTTATTTTTGAGTGGAAAAGAACTATTTTCAATTACTTGGAAATATGTGAATGAGGAAGGAATACTAAATAAAGCTAAAGTTGAGACTCAAAGAATTATAGACTCAAATTCGGGGGGAGAAAGGAGAGAAAGGCCAAAAGATAAATAATAGTGAGAAAGATTAAATAGACTTTCTGTTATGCAAATATAGACCCTTAATTTTCCAACCTTTCTCACTTCTATATCTTTTGTCCTTTCTCCGCATTTGGGTCTATATCTTTTGAGTCCCAACTCCAGTTTATTTAATATTCCTTCGAGCGTTGCATGATTTGGCTACTTTGCGCCAAAGTTGTCTATCCTTTGTTTAGTTTGGCGTAAAAAATATCATTTGGCGCATTGGCTACTTTTTGGGCTACATATTATTTATAGGTATATTAGTCGAATAAAAATGACTTTAAAATGGTGTTTTGTCATTTTTGTTTTAATTAGAGACTCAAATAAAACAAATATTTGTGTTTTTCAAATAAATTTTCGTTTGTCTCCTGTATAATAAATGGATTTATATATTTCTGATAAAAAATTGAAAGTGTCTGTAGAAGTAATTTTTTAAAATATTTTTTTTTCCCGATAAAGATTTAATACTTATTACTATAATCTAAACAAGTTAATCCTGAAACATACAAGTATATTTAAGGATTAGGCCACAAGTAGGCCTATATATAATATACTTGTGGCCCAAAACTCAATGACATCTTGCAATGTGGCCCATAGAAACAAAAAGGTTGGACACCCCTGATCTAAAGCTAATTTCATGCTTTTCAAATCAATTAACTCAACTCTTTTAATGTTATAAAACTGCCAGTACACTCTTAACAGAAGAGAAAGCTTTTTGATTTGACACGGTATTTTGATACAAATACATTTTAAAAGTTGATATCCATAAACAACTTATCATTTATTGCAATTTACTTTATATATTTTTTATTACATTCATATTAGTTGCGAATAATGCGAAACAAAGCAACAATACATTTTCTGAAATAAAACGTGTTATTGCGCTAGAGAACGCAATACTTCTTCAGATGTCGATGCTCGAAGTTGGTTTACATGAAAATCTTTTGAATATGAACCAATTTTAATTAACTTATACACATTGAGAAAAAAGTTAATAATATATAATAATAATTATGATTTCATTTAAATGCAATACATCAAATGTAGTTAGTACAGTCACCAGCAACATTTTGTTTCTCACATTTTTCATCTTGCCCGTGTTTTAACTCATCGAAAGCTACTGTAGCGTAAGAGGGTGGGTGGTCATACGGAGGAGGTTTATCACTTTCGGGCAAATTACATTCAAGAGCAACGAACTCCGAAGATGAGCCTAAATTATGTAGTGTTCCTTGAGAATTTCTCCTATCGGAAACGCTGTTATATCGTTGAATGTATTCTATAAAGACCATATATAAGGACAATACAATTAGACAACACATTAAAATAAACAATGCATCTATTAAATATACCAAAATGATATATGGTGTTTTGTCTTCAGTATCAGTTATTATTGCTTCAGTGATTATATACACACAAAAAATAAGTGCAGCAAAAAAGGCTAAAAGAAATGCTATCAAACATATATCGCCACCATTGCGTAAAGAAGATGACATGTTCAAAATGATGTGCAATTTGTCATATCTGAAATAAAAAAAAATTAAATAATTGAATAATATGAATCATCTTTGAATTTAATCATACAAAGTAAGCATTAATAAACATATATCGAAAAATATGATTTTGTATTCTCATATGATATTTTCTATTTAGTGCTAATTATAAAGTTCTAATAATTTAATAAAAGTAATGAAATAAGTAAAATATCTTAATATATTTATTATATATTTTAATTTTATTTACTGTTTAATTCTTCGTATTTTTTCTGCGTTGAAAAACAAGAAATTTATAAATTCATAAAACAAACAAATTTAAACACGTGAAGAAAACGAGTAACTCGCGGCCAAACTAGGAGAAGGCGCGAACCCGGTACCAACTACAAGCGCTCAATTGTTTTATCTACTCGGACACCGATATGCGGAACCACACAAGGCGTACGGAATTCAGCAGAAAACGTAAGGCAGCGAAAGGAATACAGAACTTAGTAAAATGTGTAGAACAACATAAGAACGATGTTCGGTTCACGAGCCTTAGTCGGAAAATGCGCGATACTCAAAAAGGACTTTAAATCTGAAGTTTTAAAGGAATTTACTTTGGTAACATCTCAGAACAATGCAAATTTTGAAAAGGATTAAAGAACATTTTTTGAAATTATCACGAAACACTGCTTTTATAACATTATTGTATTTATGATCATTAGATACCAAATATTCCAATTTTGATTCTATAAAGTGCCCCTCCATTCACATCATCTTGAGTAATTGACGCTCTATTGTATATTAAAAACAGACCAAAACAGAGTTATCTCCAATCACAATTTATTTATTTCCATAAATGAATTTATGTGCCTACCTTCATCACAATAGTTCCTCTTCAGATACCTTGTGGCTTTTAAATTTTCTGAGATAAAAATTTGAAATAAATAACTGTGAGCCGCCGGAGAGGTTGGAACTTTTTCTCCTTCCCGGTGACCTACTTTCTTGTCAAAGATGGCGTTCCGTTCAGTTACGCGTTACGCGAGTTTAGGAGAGTCGGAGGGGCCGACGATAAGACGTTGGCTAAGTCGAATAACGTCACCATTTAAAACAAAACAAGAGTTTATTTAACTAGTTAACCAACGGAGATTTTACAAAACTTTTTCGACTTCGCGAATGAGAGAGAGAGTTTACAATAATAAGCTTTCATACCTCTTGGCATATACTAGTGGGATTTTTTCCCGTAATGTCGTCCAAATGGATTCTGAACGGTGACACAAGAAAAGGTCGGCGACGAAAGTGTAGGTCTGCGATGGAGAAGGCGATGTCTGACTTCGACGTTCGGCGAATCCCCCGAGAGGGGAAAGAGGATGGCTTTTATACATTTTGTGGTGGAAAAATTAGTCAAGTGACCAATTGTTTTCGCACGTATTGGTGTTAAAATGACAATATGACGAATTTCGTCGATATTTGTAAACTATTTACGGATTGATCGTGAGAATGTTTATAGTTAAATAGAAAGTATAATTTTCTCCTGTGCTTCACATTTTGTTTTTGTAGCGTCAAATTCCTTTAGTTAAAGGAATTTTTATTTACATTTATTAAAAATTACTTTCTTTTATGAAATTATATGAACTACGAATTTCACATAACAAGTTATAGATAAATATAAAAGTAAGTAATTCGAAAGAAACATTTAGTTAGAAAAAAGTTAAAAATAAATATAATGTACCGTATTTTATTTTATTCGTTTAGTAAAATTAATAAAATTGGATGCATTGAAATTATATTAAGTCATGTACAGGGAGCTCCAGAAGAGTTCTTTATCTTACATGGCGGTGAGCAAGCGATAGGGGTAGTAGGGTGGTAAATTTAGAGAATTCCACAATTGATTCGTGATTTCTTGTTCGTAATAGAATTGATGAAATAAGGCAACGCAACACCTGGACAATCTGCCGTTTTAGCAGATCGCCTCGAATGTCCTTCTGAATGGTGCCTCCCGAGAGGATTTTCTATGGGGAAACTGGCCCTGTTTAGATATTAAAAAAAAAAATCCCGGAAAACAGTTGGAGAAGCATTAACCCGCTACCAACTTAACAACTAGTGATCGGTGGTTTTACCCACTTGTCGAGTCTGCACTGATGCAGAACTGCGCAGAGTACAACATTCCAATAAAAATCTACCATAAGAAGTTACTTCGTTATTAGTATTAACATTTTTGAAGTACCTTGTAATTATTAAAATTACAGGATAAAATACTAAGAAGATTTGTCGACTAGATTTTACTTTTACATATAATAATACAAAAAAAGTTTACTTACATTGCTTTTACTCAATCTTCAAAATTATACGTTGCACGAAAATCTCTTAATAAACTCTCAGTGTACAGTCATCGACAGAACATCTGTTGATCTACTCAATGCACTAAATTGAATGTGTTAAAACCTGTTATTTCGTCACAATATACCTGAGAATGCATATTTCGATTACAGTATTTGATATCTACAACGAAATTATTCTATGAATGCATCATCCAGGATAAAGTGTCACAGCATTTCCGGTGTTGAAAATAACAAAAAATGAATTAAATAATTAAAAAATGACAACACGGAACTAAACATTAAAACAGACAGGCTATATCGTAGTCATTGTAAACTGTGATCGTACAGAAGTGTGCATCAAGCATTAAGTGTATTATTTTTTGTTCTTATCTTAAAGTGTATAATTTTATATTGCACTGGTCCTTGAAGTTAATTACAGGTTTATTTAAATCAGGTAATATATATTTTGTAATTTTTGCAAATCATTGTTATCTCCAGTTCGTGTCACGTGTTCGATCAAATCCATGATAAAGCTAAAAATATTGGTAAATATTGTGTTTTATTATTATTTTTGTCAATTAAAACAGTTCTGATAAGTTGGGAAAACTTCTTACTTTGGAAATTTCGGAAAATAGCAAGGATTGAAGTATTTTTGGAGGAAACTCAGAACAATCAACGTAAAATTTCATTGCAGGTAGGGGTGAGCCAAAAGTCTGTCTCTCGTGTACAAAATTCACAACACAACGAAAAATCATGTTAACCAAAATGGTTTCGGTTAATATGACCCTGCATTGCGTTATGAATTTTGTTGGTTGGATCCTATTTTAAACCAGACAGGCCTAAAAAATACAAAGATAACCAGAAAACAGCGATAAAAAATGTAGACGCGAATAAAAATATACTCGAGTCTAATAATTTTCACACATCTGCATATAGTAGTAATTATAAAAATTTACACCTAATTAGTAATTAATTGATTGTTTCTATATTTATTACTTGTATTTAGATTGGCAAGAGTCAGCGAGTCAAGAGCTTGAGTCTGGGACCAGTGAAAAGCACTTGACCAGTTCTGGCTCCACTAGTGGTAATAGCGCTGCATCACAAAGCAAAGTGAAAGTCCAACGCATTGATTCGTTTATTATAAAAATGCCAAGTAATCAAAATACGCAATTCGATGTTCAAAGCGAAAAATTTATATACGCCACCAATTCAGACTTTAACCATGTAGAATAGCCCGAATTTATAAAATTTTGTCAGATGTTGCGACCTGGATATGACCCTTCACGGAGAAAGAAAATTGGGGAGCCTTGCTGGACACTGTATACAATTCCATTGAGAATGAATCAGCTGATATTAATATATCAGCTGATTCATTCTCATATCAGCTGATTATATTAATATTATAAGTTAAATTAAAGGATATTACAGTCTGTATGGCTATTGATGGGTAGAATAATATCAATTATGAACCAGTGATTTGTGTGTGTGTGTGTGACTGATCTTATGGAACAGTCTATTTGATTGACTCGGTTGATACAGGCGCAGAAAGTCGCACATGTGAGACCCAAAAGGCCCCTGGGTCTAAATTAATATTTTATTAATAATGTTACAATAATGTCACCAAATATTACTTCATTTTTGGTGAGAAAAATACTGTTTTAACGTGGGAATAGGCAGATAACAGATGTTACTTCTTTTCACTGAAGTTAGTACATCCTCTGACTTTCCCTTATCTGATTAAAATCCTGCTTAGATGGGAAATGGTTACCCCTCATTTATTCCCCTTTCATCCGTTCTCATGAAAGAGTTACTGGCCGATGATTGGTCGAAATTCAGAAGATATACAGGGAATTTGTCAGAATTCGGGAAGTTCTTCGATCCGAAAGTGTCCAAACTCCACACATTTTCCTTCTGATGACCAACGCCCTTAAACGAGTCACTTAGAATAAGTCCCGAGTCTGCACTTAGAAATTATACTTTGATTTTGTGCACATATCGATCTCCCATGTTAAGAAGTAAATGAACTTTATCTACAAGGTGTCCCTTACCTACAGAGAAGAAGACGAACGACAACTAGAACTGGTTGTATGTTTTTAACGATTTTGTGAGCTCTCTCTCTCGATCGCGAATTGGGTAGAAGATAAGTAGGGGAAATACGTACAAAATGACATAGGCACCATAATTTGAATTTGGTGGTCTCAAGCGCACAACTGACCATGACACCATGTTATACGAGTGTCTTTTACTAACCTGTCAAAATGTGAACGCACTCCTCTCATTGGCCCGGGTGTCATGGCCGACGACAAAAAATGATACGTTATGAGATTTTTCCTCGCAACAAGTTTTTTGTATAGATGGTAAGTTTTTCACTATTTTATCTACTTGTGTAGCATTTATTTCAACCCTCAAGAATTTGTTGTCGCACTTAAATAACTTTTCCCATTAAAAATAACATCCTTGTATTTATTTTATAATTTTGTTTTTTTTATAACGTTATATGGACAAAACGATATACATAGGCAACGAACATAATGACATACCTGTCATTTAGTCCATAAGAGCTTAGTCAAGGAACTTAGCTTAACCTCTTAACGTTTTATTAATTATAAAAAATGGCTTTCAAAAAAAGTCTTTCATTATTGTTTAAAAGAAATTTTAGTATAAAACTTTATTTCCTTTCTTACATATTATTTACAAACTTATTATCTTTCGCGTAACAAAAAACTTGCAACGAATCACGTGACTCGACAAACCTCTTTAGTTTTAACTTCTACTCCTAATATGAAGGCAATTAAATCAAAAAA